CACATACTAAGAATATACATCTATGTGTGTGTGTGTGTGTGTAAGTTTAAAAAAAGTTAAGAAAACACTTTTGTCAACAAAGGACCAGAACACAACCTTTATGATGCCAACAGACCATGAGTTTACAAAAAAATACAGTCCCTATTTTTTATTCTTCACAATTAATAAATGTTATACTTTCAGACAATGCTGTGCCTCCACCCAATCCTCTTGCTATCCTCAGTAGCTTCATAATCTCTTTCCCAAGTAGCAATAACCATTTTAAAGTAAAACGCTAAATGTGTAACAGTGGTTGTCTCCTACCCCTTCATTCTGCAGGCAGTCCTTTCTATTTGACATTTTATTCCACTGCAATTGATATCAGATTTTTCATGTAATTCTAAATAATTCAGCAACCACAGCAAGATTTACTATCTCACTGTGCCTCCATTCCAAATGGTTTATTCCAAATGGTTTATTAATGTCATCAATTACACCACACAATATTACTGCAGGATTCCAGGTGCAGCCACTTTCTGTTGTGTAAACAATTTCATTCTGTCTAGAGGATTCATTTCCAACACAAAAGAACCCTAATAGGCAGTTCTGGTAACGAGTTAGAGTAACAGTGGATGACTCCACATCTCAAAACCAGTCATAGCATAGTTTTATTCCGGCCATTCAAAAAATGACACTCAAAATTAACATACCCAGGTTCTCAAAGACCTAGTGGCGCAGAATCTCTTTAACCGTAAGATGCCTATACCTAATACGGTACAAAAGGCTTCAGGAAAATCATGAGCAAAGGATTAAGTTTTAACCAGCACATTATCCCTAAAAACAAAGTGTGTGGGTGCAATGGGAGCAGAAGAAAAACGTCAGAAGCTGGCAGCAACCAATATAATCACTATTCCTAAGGCAAGTACCAATGGTACACGCAAAGGCATACTTTGATTACTACACATGAAGATGTCATTATCTTCAGAGAAACGAAAAATCCTTTTTGTTTCCCTTACGGTTCCTTCCCATAACTCAGAGAGATGACCTGCTCTAACTTAGCCAGACTGATTTCCTTTATTGATTTCTTTCAGGTCAGTCTCTGCAGCAGACTTAATGTAGCTTTACCTCCAGCTCTAAGTCCACTCAGACCCCAACTAGCCTGGCCTCAGCTACAGAATTCCGACAACAGAGATGGCTGTCAACACAATGTAAAATAGAAATTTCATTTTAGGTTGCTAAATCTGCATCCAGTCATCTACATACAGGTAGGAATATTACTTCCCACAATGACCAGCCAATACAGTTATTGCTGAATTAAACAAGACAGAAATTATGGCCACTTGTTCAGTGTTTCTTTTTAATAATGACATTTCATCATTCATTTGGCACAGTCATATATTAATTATATCTTCAAGGATATTTCAAAATGCTTTGACAAGTCCTTGAAAACAGCACTGCAGTATTTCATGGACATTAAGTTCTGAAGTATCAATCAGCTGTTTGGGAAAAACAGCTTTCAGTCACGTTACTCAAAATACACAATTTTTAAGTGCCAAGACCAACAAAAACATTGAATCACAAGTACCCCTTGCCTGACGTGTTCTGCTGGGTCAGACAATCCTAGGGAGACCAGCAGCAGCCAGTTCACAATATACAACATTCTCAGTTTTGTCCAATCCACAGCTCCACAAACTCAAGTATCAGCATGGCTCTGTGAGAACAGCATTAGACATGTTCTCAGTCAACACTACACCTATCTGCATCACCTCCAGGAGTTGCTCCGGAACATTCCTGTATTTCACAACTTGCACATTTGCACAGGCTGATGATCCAAGCAGTCAACTGCCCAGCTTTTTCCTTCCCTTTTTCCTTCTCTTGTAATAGATGTCAATTATTCTGAACAGATTAAAGGAGCACACTTTCTTGTTTTTCTTGTAGATGGGAAGGTATAGCAAATGCAGGACCCAACTGTGTGAGAGCAAGTGGAGCTGGGGTGGGAGGAAAGTTACTGTCCTGAAATGGTGCAGCATTATTCATCAAACCAGCTTCTTTTCCCAAATTACAGCAGAATAGCAAGTGCATCATTAATGATTCAGGAAGCCAAAAGGCTGCTTTGTCATGATGATCTTCACGCCTCAAGCAAGCATTTTCCCTGCCCTAAATGCTTATTTAAAATCTTGCTTACAGAAAAATACAAGCTGTACTGCACAATAAGTAAGAGCTCTCCCATAATTGCTCTGAACCTTAGGGGTTGGCAGTTCTGTCATGTTGTGCCGAGGCAAAGAAGTGCCTGTCCCACTTCGGGAAAGATACCATAAATGCTAAGCTAGCTGGAAGATCATACCTGGTATTGATAAAGTCATTAATCAATATAAGGATGTTGTAGTATGTTTTACTATGTTACACCTTTTAATAAAGATGTTTAGATGGGCTGAGGCACAACAGAGGACTTCTTTGAGATGGAAGGGTTCTTAAACAGTAATTTATGAAAGAATTCCAAGGCGCACGGACAAGGTGATTTAAGGGACGGCATGTGAGCCAGGTGAAAATGGCTAACTCTTCAAATGCACATGCAACAGCCTACACAGAGCTTATCTTCAGCACAATCGCTATTTTCAGGTTGCAGGAAAGGTTAAAGCTTTCAGAAAGGCTCAGCAGAGCAAAATTAACAGTTGACTGCATTCTCTACCCATTTATTTAAAACATTAAGGTTGTTTTCTTGTTGAGTGTTACAAGTCACAAGCCTGGGAAAATTCAGCATTGATTATCACAAGAAACCAAACAGATATGTCTTGCCCTCCTTCTTCTTAAGCACTTGACAGCTGAACTCTAAATTCTAACTAGACTTCATCACAAACATAGAAATTGCAATTAAGCTCTGTGCAGTCATGTTCAAAGTCCTCAGATTTCCTTATTATCCTTTTTACTGTAGAGTCTACAGTCACTTGAAACAGACTGCCAAGCATAATCCTAGTATTAATTAATTTAAACACACTATCATAGTTTCAAAGTGGTTCTCAGAAAAATTATTCTGTTTACTGATTACTATAGTTCTGGTACTAATTCACTCTTCTTGCTCTATTGCAAGATTAAATCATGCTTGAACTTTTACTATACATATGCAACATTTAAGGTGATCAAGACTTAAGCTGTTCATTTGCTGTAAACCATCACTTTTTAGAACCTGCACAGGTTGGTGAACATTTAACCAGAAATGTAACCATGAAGATGACAACATTTCTCTGAACTGTGTGAATGTGTATGAATGCAGTCTTGCACAGAGTCAATCTTGCACAGAGTCAATCTACAAAAGGAAAGCTCAGTTTAGTTTAGTATCTGTTTGATAAGCACAATATCATATAATGAAAATTAAGAATTGAATTCGTTAATGATTCTGTTCTGCTGTAACAGCAGGTTTCATACTTTTGATCAAGCTTCTGTAAACTGAAACAATTAGCTGTGATATTGATTTTTTTTTTTAAAAATCTTTTATCTTTAGCTTTTAAAATCTAAAACGCTAAGGGAGATACAGTTAGAACGGAGAATCATGAGGACAAAGCATAGCATATTTTAGGAAGAG